TCATATTTGAAACCATGCTTAGAAACATATTAGTCTACCACCAACTCCTCTGTCTCTGAAGTTCCTAAAATAATTTTAGAACACTTTGTTCTAAATATGAAGAACATTTAATATTTTAAAGAACCATTTTCAACTATAAAGAGCCTTTTATGGAATGGAAAGATTTCATGGATGTTAAAGGTTCTTCATGAAAGGTCTTTAGAAAAAAAGCATGGTTGCTAACTCATAAATTATAACCACTCAAAGTGGAACTGACACCACGCTAACTATCTATGGAAAACACAAGGAAGCGACATCACAGGTAAACAAATAACTTAAAAACGTCATCTGTTGCCATAGAAATGTCACTTGATAAGAACAGCAAATGTGTTTCATAAACCATGGATGAATCCGTTCCATGTTTAGTTCCTCCTCAACAAGTGTATGACTTTTTGTACCTAGTGCCCTCTAACTGCTGCATAGTAAACCACGACACACTTCCTTCATGATCGCCAGTATTATATTTCACACAGTACTGACGAACTGACGTTTCAAAGACATCTGTACAGAGAATTGTAGTAGGCTATTTCTCATAAATGTATTCTAATTACCTTTGCATGTGTATGCAGTCATTTTTTTGCATCAGTTCTTAACAACTGCATATTATTTATAAGTCTAGTTTATTGTGGTTTTATTATGTGAGATTTCTAAAAGCTCCAATTAGACAGTTTAGTCAACACTTTATTAATGGGAGCCTAGAGGATACAATAAAGATTAAGATTAGATTAGATTAAAGATTAAATAAAATAATTAACAATAATGATTATGATGATAAAAGGTGACTCATTGAAAAAAAAACGGTTACTCACAGCAAGTAGAATCAGGAAGAAGGTGCTCTTCGTCATTCTGCTGTGCTCCTGTTTGCAAGCACTCTCCAAATGTCAGATCAGCACCTGTGGCAATGACCTTAACTGGGATTAAATGTAAAGCGAGGCAGCATTACACACCTTTTGTGTACTTTTTCGCATCTATGAGGATGTGCGTGTGTTTATGTGTGTGTGTAAACAGTGCCTATGAATGCAATGAGCCATCTATACGAAAACCCTTCAGGGCAGCAGCCTGGGAGTGGCTAAGGCTATACATAGAGAACAGCGAGTGAGGTTTCACTTTTTTTTTCCCTTCAGCTAAAAGTGGACAAACGGGCTGCTCAGCTTGCCATCTGCCAAGTGAAAAAGGAGCACTTTTGGCGGTAAGCTTGTTTAATGTATGTGCCGTTCAAACATTCAACCCTGCTGCTTATATGCAAATGACATAACCACCACCAGTCTGTTTCAGGCCTGGGCTTGTATTTACTAATAAACTTATCTGAAAAGGCCAGTGAACTACATGTCAAGGCACATGCTGTGATAGGCAGGATGCGAAAAGTGGTCTGAAAATGGGCCTGTGAAACCCAATGGGGATGTTAATTAACGGAATAGTTTACTCAAAAGTGAACTTTTACTGAAAATGTACTCATCCTCATTCAAGATGTAGATGAGTTTGTTTCTTCATCAGATTTGGAGAAATGTAACATTGCATCACTTGCTCAGCAATGGATGCTCTGCAGTGAATGGGTGCCGTCAGGAATGAGAGTCCAAACAGCTGATAAAACATCACCATAATCCACACCACTCCAGTCCATCAGTTAACATCTGGAGAAGGGAAAAACTGCATATTTGTAAGAAACAAATCTTTCATTAAGACATTTTTAACTTCAGGCTAAAATACGAGTCCTCTATACAGAATATTGCCTTCTCCAGTGAAAAAGGCATCTTGTCTGAACAAGAGACAGACTTTTTCACTGGAGGAAGTGTTATTATGGTTTATGGCCAGAAGCGACAGTTTGAAGTAAAAAAAAAACGTCTTAATTATGGATTTTTGTTTCTTACAAACACACAACAAATCAACAAATTTTCATTTTGGGGGAACTATTCCTTTAAGAATAAAACAATAACAAGGGAAACAAGTTACTCTGCAGTGAGAAGTGTCCATGTCTATAGCACAGGGATGGGCAACTTCGGTCCTGGAGGGCCACTGTCCTGCAGAGTTTATCTGCAACCCTAATCAAACACACCTGAACGAGCTTATCAATGTCTTCAAGAACACTAGAAAAGGTGTGTTGAATCCATATCGTAATTACCGTGATTACGAGATACCAACTTGTAAAAAGCGTTCACATCCTCGTAGAACTCGTAATTACGACTTGTGAACTGGGAGTTTTCTGAGAGCAATAACTTACCATCTGAACACCTCAGATTCATTAGGCGCTTTGTTTAGGCATTGATAATTCAATAGTTCCAAGTCCGAGACAGTTCCAAGTAGAACGTCACATGTTGTCACCTCAAAATCACAGTAATTACGACATGCCATGAATGCAGCAAAAGCTACGTGCAGGTGTGTTTGATTAGGGTTGGAGTTCAACTCTGCGGGACAGTGGCCCTCCAGCCCTGCTATAGCCTAAAAGACAGTAGTTCTCAACCAGGGGGCCGGGACCCATGTACTAGGGAGCCTCAGCAAACTTTTAAGGGGGCCTTAAGATGACTTAAAATTACTTTAAAAAAAAGACAAGCATTAAAATAAGCTAAAACAAGTAAAAGTTATTTTAATTCACCCCCTCAGCAACTGTTTTCCCCATTTTTGAATAATTATAAAAGTATGAATTCTAAATCTAGAAAAATCTAAATAAAATCGTCATAGACATTTTATATGTTTTATGAGTACTTATTTTTATGATATTTTTTTTTAGTTATGCCAAGCTCTAAAATATTTTATAAGGTAGAAATTAAGTTACATTTTATCCTTATCCAATATATCACAAACAAGTGGAAAAATAGACCTTTGAATATTGTTGTGGACAAAGGGAAGCCTTGAAAAAAAGGTTGAAAGAAAAGAAAAAACCTAAAGTAAAAATATGCCTGTATTTTCTGATCACATTTGTTTCATATTTAGGGTACGTTTACACGACAACGGTGTAGTCAAAACCGGCAAAGTTTTTCCCTTGCGTTTTTAAAAGTTTCACGTATACACGACAACATTTTCAAACCGATTCGCATTTAGACCAAGTGGCAACCTCCCGCTCTCTCTCGTGAAGCCAACAAGGAAGTGACTTAACTGTAATTCGTCAACTGGCCGCTAGAGGCTGGCTGCAAAAGGGAGTCAATCCCATAGACTCCCCATGTTAAAATGGCCAACTTTACAGCAGAAAAAAACATGTTTACAGCCTGGTTCAAAAAATGATTTTGGTCTATATAGCTAATTTTGCCCTTCGTGACAACTGTGAGGGGGGTGAATTGTTTTATTGTCACCACCATCGAGCTAGGTGGGCGTGGTTTCAACAACCAGCTCCCGCCTCTTTGCCCATCTTCGATTATCCAGGAGTGACGCGCGGTGACGACCTGCCAAGATGGCGACGGCTGGCTCCGCCCACTTTAGGCTTCAAAACGCTCGTCGGAAGTCTACGGACACTACGTCCATGTTTTTATACAGTCTATGGTTTAGTGTATGTTTGTTCGCGCTTGCCTTTAAAATTGACACGTACTGCGCATGTCTACATACCTAACACGTACTACGCGTGCATGACGTCACCGTTTTCAAAGATTCCCGTTTTGGATGTTTACACGGAAGGTAGCTGGGAGGGGGATCCAAGATGGCGTCCTGCTAAGTCTGCTTATATAGTGCTCCGCTGACAAATCTGCTTTTAACAGCTAAACTACGCTATATATAATTGTGCTACACGTATTAGAATCTACATTTATTTTACTGTGAAGTTACCTCTCAAAACTTTGAAAATGAAATCAGCAGCAGATAAAAGGAAAGGAGGAGAGACACCGCGTGCTTCTCGTGTATCTAGTATCGTGGATGTCCACAGCTACGCTTCTCCCGGGGATACATTTTTATCTACACCGTTTCTTGAGAGCCCGGGTAAGCCGCCTTCAAAGAAAGGCAGAGCAGAGGATGATTCCGTGATTTCCACGCTCTCTCAGCTAATAAATAACCGATCGGATGCCCTGGAGAAAATGGTGGGTGATAATGCTCTGAAAATTGAAGGTCTAAAGAAAACTGTTGACTATATCTGTGCCGAGCTTAATGACGTTAAGGGGAAGGTTGGCCATGTTGAAGCTAGATTGAGCTCTGAGGAAAAGAAGATGGAGTTCTGTGAGACAAGGATTGCAGACTTAGAGCGTTACTCGCGTCGCTGGAATTTACGCCTGCAAGGAGTGCCGGAGAAAGAAGGTGAAGATATCAGAGCTGAATCCATTCGTATTTGTGTTGCCACTTTTCCAGAGGGAAGCAAAATTCTACCGGATAAGATTGACACTGTTCATCGCATTGGGAAGAGGCCTTTGAATACCTCTAGGCCGCGAGCCGTCATTATTCAGTTTTCCTCCC